GCCGGCGGTGTCGCGCCGTCCCAAAAGAGGAGCCCTCTGCGCCCGAGGAGATGCGGGGTTTCGGTCGGTGCGTTCGGCGGTGCCGGGCGTCGCGCAGAGCCGTCCTGGGGCTGGGTTTGGTTGCACACCGGGGAGGTGGAACAGAAACGGCGCCTAAACCAGCCCCCGCCGCGCGTTTGGGCAGCTGAACGGGCGTCTGGGCCGGCCCAGCCTGGGTCCTGGTGGGATTCAGGCTTTCCCGGTAATCGGGGAAGCCCCCTTCGTTTCAGGGGGATCTCGGTGGGGTGGAAAGCGAGAAATCCCGCCAATACACCTGACATGAGAGGCTGTTCTGCCAGGTCTGCACGATTGCCTTGACTCTGCAGTAGCGATAATGATGATTTTTTAATTTTATTTTGTCATTAAAAAGCACCTAGATCAGACTGTGACTTAACACAGTGGGAAAATACCAAGGGAAAAAAAGCCCACAGGGTAGCTTTTTTATTTTAAGTTAAAGCAAATAGCCAATTTAAAGACTGTCTTTCAGCCCTCACTCAAGCTCGTGTAGACTTACTGTGAGTTTCATTTTAGATTGGTCATAAATATCACAGTTAAAAAGTAATGAGGGTTTTTTCCCCCCCATTTGGTTTACAGTTATAACACATGTAGAGTATTTCACAAATAATTTCAGTCTAAACGTAGTACTGTTTAAGAACATCACCTGATAAAAACCCTGTGAGCCAGATTAACAGCAAATTAATCTCAATAAAACACCCCAAATAACGTCTTCTAAATACTATCGAATTAGTGTTGCAAAACCCTTTTCTGCCGGAAATCTTTGACTTGGTTCGTTGTCTTGGGTTTATTTTTTGCCGTTATCAGCCACATTACGCAGGGACTTCAGCGCGTGGTTGCAGTGCTTCGCAGAACGCGGCCGCATTTGTGTAAATGCAGATCTTCAGTCATTCACGCGCATCAGCTTTATTTAAATTTCTAAAGCTACGTGGTATTTGAATGAAATTGGAAGTTGTGATCGCCCGTGCTTGCCCTCGTTGTCCG